ATTTTTCTTTTCCTTGTGCAAAGAACTGTAGCAGGGATTCTGAAGAATGAGGATTTGATTCTGCTATTATAGAAGGTGAAATTTGATTTGATCCTTCTATTAGTAACCATAAATTATCCTGTTCAATAGCTTTGGAAGCCTTTCGGTAAATACAAAATGTCATGTACTCCATAAATCACGATTCGCTTCTATATTATTTTCCAGTTTAATAAATACTTTATCGCTGTGTATATTACATATTTGTTGAGTCTATCCAATTAATATAACAGATTGCATTGCCTTGGCAACAGAACATAGGAAATGTATATTGGATTTTAGATGGATTATCATAGTGTCTTGTAATAAAAAAGTATTAACAAAGATTTTTAAAAACAAAACTCATTTGAAATCCTGAAACATGACAGTCAGTATCGAACTTTGAGCAGTTCGAATAAAAATTCAACTTACGAATTTGTGCATAAATCAAATATGGAATTCTTCGAACTCCACTAAATGAGAATGTGGTCGAAAATTCGATCAATATCAAGCAATTGTTCATTGTATACATAAAAGCATCTGGTAACAATAAAAACGAATCTGAAAGTAAAGTTGTAGTTTTGTTTAATTCAGTCGGTGAAATGTTGCATAACTGTGAATCTAATGATCAAACTGGTAGTGTTTGTTCTAGACAGAATTGCTGACAAAGGGCTACAAGAGAGAATTTTAAGGCGAGAACTTCTTTTTCTTAAGAGCTGTAGAAAGATGTAAGCCCAAACTAAGGTCTCAGATTGTGTAATCCAAAAGTATTAATTAAAAAAAAAATCTTTAATGAGAATGACTTTTAATGCAAACACTGGTCCTCAAAATTAATTTGGATCAAAAAGTCTCTCTTAGTGCTAGATATACTATTGGAAATATTAGCAGCATGGAGAATAAACTTTCCTCCGGATTTGGAGGGGGAAGAGGCACGGAACACGCCATATACTCTGCCTTTATTTCAAATCCTTCTATTCATTTGACTTCTCAAACAACTTGAGACCTTTCAATCCCATTTGTAACATAAAACATGAATTTATTCAGAGCCCGCTTCTTAAAATTTCAAAAAGGAGATTAAATTTTAAAAATCTGATGTGTACACCACATGATCTCCTCGTACGGTATATTAAATTATACCATTGTTCCTGCATTTCATTTAAACATATTGAATAAACAATTAATGTATTTTGAATTAAGTCTACTTCGTCGACAGCGCATAAACAGGGTTACATCTAATTCCTTTTTTAACTCAGAGTGCACAAAAGTTATATCATCTGAAGAATTACCACATATTCTATTCAAATACTATAACAAATCTAAAACGTTGTTTAAAAGAAATTAAACAAATAATAAAAAAAAAAAGTTTTTCATAGACAATTCAGCGCCGCTTACATAATGCCATAGGATACTAATTAATACAGTTCTCGCTTCGCGGCAAGGTAAAAATACATAAAAATTCAAAATATTTTCATTAAAAATTGAAAGATATAGAAAAACATAAAACACCAAATACAATTAAAAGCAATATTTTTTTTTTAAAATGTACAATTAAAATCGCAGTTTCTACGGAAAAACAAGTTAATAACTTAAATGATAATTCTAGAATGAATTAAGCATAATTTAATTCGCAATAATAGGCATTACTTTGTTGTTGGGAAGCTTAGTTTCTCTAGATTGGGAACAAATCCACTATTTTGCTAAGTTTCAAAGGTAAATACATATGGCTGCCATGCTAAACAAAAATTAGGCTTTGCTGCACTTAAAATACTTTTAAATTGTTAATAATTCCAAAATCATTGCATGCAGATAACCTAAAGGCATAATTTAAGATCATACAACATTATATATATACACTTTTATATAATTTTGGTGCGTCCGATTGCAACCAAAATGGGAGGTACACATCTACATGTTATAGCAGTGCTATATACAAAATTTCAACTGTCAGACTACTCGTTTTTGAGCTGTGCGAGATACATACATACGTACATACAAACGCCACGAAAAAGTCTGTTCAGAATTCATTTTAAATCAGTTTCATAACTTTTTGAGTCCTTTTTTATATCCTTACGTACAGATGTCATGCAAAAACATCGTTAAATTACATTCGATAGCGATCAAAATGGATATTTCCGTTGAAATATGATACCCGAAATTTTTCGCGATTACAATATCTTTTACTTTTTACTTCGTACAAGGAAGTAAAAAACACAAAATTATTCCAAATGCGAAAAAATGGCATCTGCAAAACGAAGGTTTCAAGCTGTAATTAAGGCCCACCCGTTCTGCAGGTGTCCTTAATTAAAGCGGGGAAAATATAATGACCCAAAAACGGAATGCACTTAATTAAGAATAAAAGTAAGAAAATTAGATTTTTGAACAAATTTGATTTAAATAAACTGATGGAAAATGGAATCCTAGTGCTAAGAAAAAATCAGTTAAGGGTATGAAATATAGGCAAAGCATTTGTTTAGGTGACATATTTATTTGATTAATGTTTCAAGGTCGCAGGTTAAACTGTACGAGAGAAGAGCCATTTGAAATGTGAAATGGTGGCATATTAATAACCGCTTTAGTCATCACGATATTAAATGCAAGCTTGCAAACTCACATGCATTGTGTCGTACAGGTTAAATATGTCATTTTCTGGTATAGAGTTCCATGCCTGTTTCATTTGTCAGTTAAATCAGCAACGGTTTGTGCTGGTTGTGGATGATGCTGGATTTATTGCCCAATCATATCCCAGATATGCTCGAAAGGAGAAAGATCGGGTGATCTTATAAGCCGAGGCAATCTGTTGGCACTCTATAAAGCATGTTGAGTAATAGCAGCGGTATGGCAATGAGAGTTATCTTGTTAGAAAATGACTCTGACATACTGCTCAAGAACGACAGCACAATCGAGCAGTCGCCATCTGAAGTACAAATTTGTTGTCAAAGTGTGTGGGATAACGACGAGTCATAGGAAATTGCTGTTCGGACCATAATTCATAATGGATTCCATTTAACAACAAATTAATCAAGGCAAAAGCTTTTGATTTAATATTGTGCAAAAGGCTTTTGTAACAGGTATAGTGTACCTGTATACAATTGTAATTAAATTTTCCTTTATCAATCTGTATAATTATTTTTAAAATATGTCAATTTTATTTAATATTTAGGATATGAATTTATTTTTTAGAACCTGATAGCTATTGAATTATGTACTTGAAAATATTTATTTCATTTGCCATAGCTGGGACTCCTTTTGCGAACCACGTTCGACTGAGCCAACGAGTTTGCAAACATCTTAAGAATGATTACTTCAGTCTCCGTACTGTCCTGATATTCTTGTATACAATTAGTTGAGCCTGCGACTTGTGCAGTTTTCGATGAGAGAATTAGTTCTGGACATCACCAACAAGGATGCAGCAAAATAATAAAGAGTATGATCATTTCTATTATTGTATTCCCTTGTTAATTTTTAGGACCAAGTGATCAGCCCAAACATTTTAAGTGTCATGGATATGTATTTTAAGTAGATATGAAAAACAACTTGCTTATCAGCGAGGAAAATTTCCGACAAGGACCTTCAATTTCATTTATGAACTTTCTTGTGTTCTGAACCTGTGAGTGATTTATTTTCCTTTGCTTTTTCCATATTATTTAATTATGAGGATTTTTGAAGGTTAATTTCTGTGGAGTGATCTGTCATTTTTAATGTTGAATGAAATATGAAATGGATATTTATTACTTAATAAATAATCGAGAAAATAAATTTTAAAATATTTACTTGTTATAAGTTATACCTTAAATTAAATTAATAGATGAGGAAAACATTAATGTTTCATAAAAGAAAGTATCACTGATTTAATGAGTATAGAATAAATATTATATTCAGGAATTCAATTTAATTAATTACTAAATGTCAGAGGATGCAATTTTTTCTGTATTACTGGTGAGGGAAATTTGTATGTCCTTCAAATTTAGTTTTAGATGTGGTTTTTTAATTTGTGTGTGCTTTTAAAATAATGCTCATGTAGCAACTTGGATCCAGTTACCCAAATTAACAGAATGTGTCTATTAATCGAGAATTAATAAATGTATTTTAATTGTAAATGTTTGCTTCTGTTTATTTTTTAGTGGTCTATTATATCTTCCATGTGATCCTTAGGGAAAACATAGATCTTCTAAAATGAACCTGGGTAACTTATTGCAGTCTAGTATTGGAATTAATTATTTATGTGTATTTGAATTTTACAATTTTATTATTCTATTTGATTGAATTTTAATATGTGTATTTTTCACTGTTGTCTTGAGAAGTTTTTTTAATTAGTACTTCAATGAAAAGGTTTGTGTTTGTTTACCTTCAAAGCTTAGGAATTATTGTATTGAGATTTACATATTTTCAGGAAAGTCAGAGGACGTATTATTTTAAAGGGAGACAGTATTTGTAGAATTAGAAAATGAATTGCATTTTTTATTTCTTACTGAAAGTTGATATTTTTTATTTTACCAAAGCACCAGAGAGGATATTATCACATTTCAGTCTCAAAGATATTTACATAAAGAGTTTGCATTAATATTAATTGCTTTAGGATTTTATGTAAATTAGTAAAAATGCAATCACCAGCTTGTAGCTTTTCAGATCTCAGGAGTTTTATTTTAATATGTATATCCAGAACCAGTTGTTGTCAGTTATTCAACAGTAAGGTTCAAATTAATTATATTCAAAAACTCTTAAACTAATTTTTTCCCACATATAACAATTGGAACCTATTTTACTAATGCTCCTGAAATGCTGCAGATGGAATTAATCAGAATCCAAATTCCAGTCATGAAATATGATTATTTTAAATAAGCAAAGATAACTTTGGACACTAATCTAGATAAAATGTTTCAAAACTAGCTTTTATGAAAAACAAATTATTTGTACTTAACAGAAAGCAGGAAACATCTATACACTTCACACAATCAATAATTCAAAAGGAAAGAAATTTATAGTACACAAATTCTTTTTATTTATTAAGGTACACAATTTTACGCCTATAATTTCAAAAATATCTTTTATTTTTAACAAAAAAATTTTATAACTGCAATAAAATGACACAATGATTACAAATATTTACAATTATTTGTTCTATCACAAAAGTTACTAAAAATCTATATCTGCATCATTCATCTTCATCTTTTGCAGCATCTAAGTGAAATTTGCCATGCCTTCCTACACCTTGCATAAACGTTTCTGCTCCTAAAAAAAAAAAAAAAAAAAAAAAAAAAAAAAAAACTGAAAGGTTTCAGAATTTAAATTACGTCCAAAGGGGCATTTTTTTAAACATTTTTTCTGTTACCTTTATTTATTAAATATCAAGTTCTTCACACTTAAACCATAAAATTCAGTTCAACAGCAATATAGCAAAATAATTTTTAAATTGAGCATATCTTTAGAATTTTCAATATGCAGTCTCATGCACTGGAGATAAAAATGTTTTTTTCTGTACAACGTTGCCATCGCTTGCTTTGAAATCATTGCAAAATATGAAATCGATAATAAAACAAATTCCAAATTTCAAATTTGGTATTTCAGATGCCCATATTCCCAGCAGGATTACATCATTCAAAATCGGATGGCTCTATGTACCATTGTTTTATCACAATGCGAGAAATGTACATACATTTATTCAGATTCTTCATTATTTGATTTCTTCAAATATAATACAGGGCGATAGTATTTGGTGGCAACGATTTGAAAAGTGATACAGCCATTTAAAGTTTTCAAGGCAAAATTGCAAAACGAAAACAACGGTCCTTCAGCAACAAAGCCCCGTTGGACTAAAAATGTATAATTTATTCATAATAAGGGAACATTTATTTGCTTTGATTATCAAAATATATAAAAAATGTTTGAACTTCTCTTCAATCAAAAATACCACATTTACTTGACAATATGACTCCCTTTTTGTTATATTTTTATTACAGATCGGAAGAATAGATGACAGCAGATTGGCAAGCAATTTTTTTTAAAAAAAATAATAATGCTGAAATGGATTATATTTGCCTTGGAGAGATAACCTTTACTGAGAATTTGAAGAAATATGAGTCAGACTCACGTAAAAAAATTAAGATAACAAAAATCTATGCTACTATATGATTCAGTTGCCAGGAATTGAATCATGATCAAAATATTTTATATGATTAGCCCCTTACAAAATTATTTATATTTTTTTTTATTAAATTTTGTAATTTTCTGTACTAATTTAAAATTCAAATTTAAAATATATCCAAAATAAGTATTTGTTCTCAGCATCGGTAAATCTGCAACACTATTAACATAGATAATTTGAAACATACTTTTATTAGCTTGAAGCAAAGAGTGTTTATTAATCTGGACATATTCTTAAATATTGGAAAAGCTAAGGATTTTATAAGACCCATAGTGCCAACATTCATAATTAGCTCTCCTTTGTGCACAGAACCTCCTTTCTACAACACTCATAATTATCTCTTAATAATCTTCTTTATTCTGTATACATCAGGCTATAATTGATTAACTTTTTTAAGTTTAATTAATTACAAAAAATGTATAAAAAATTGTCTGCCTTGAAAGAGATATATCTTAGTAAATTTACTAGGATTCCTAGAGAGACATTAAAATGCTATGTTACTTGTTATTCACATTGCTAATTTTTGGCCAAATAAAAATAAAAATAAAAAAAAATAAATAAAAAAATGAATTAAATCAATCTTTTAAAACTAATTAATGAATGAAATTATTAATTAAATAAATCTGTATGTATAATACACATATGCAATAGAGGCAGAGGGCTTTACGAAAATGTAAATAAGGAAGAGCTATCAAAAATACTTAATAAACTCTCAAAGTATTTCTGGACTCTTGTTATAAAATGCAAGTCAGCTTTAGAACATAGAAATACTATTTAGTCAAAAGGTGAAATACTATTTTTATTTGCATGATTACTACACACGTGGAACATCTTTTTCAGTAACCAGAACTTTCAGCTTTTCCCTATTAGCAAAATATAGCCTTTAGTGGAAATGTGTCACAGAACTCCAGAAGTTATGCTTGATCTACCCTTGTCAGTAAAGTGATAGAGCAGTAAAAGCTGTTAAAGATATAAGTGATTTCCTTTCCTTTATTAGTCATACCCCTGAATACATCAAAATATGCTTGCTATAAAAATTTTTTTTGCATCATCTTATCTTATAATTTTTATCAAGAATCGGCAAAACACAGCATATTCTTTTGAAAAACTAAAAGTTACATTTCATGAAATGGCATAAACAATTAAGAAAGAGATTCTAAACTTTTCAGAAGATATTCCATTAGAAGATATTCTAAACTTTTCATGAGCAAATTAGTTATAAAAAAAAAGATCCATTAAACCTATGTTTCTAAATGTAGTTATAAATGTTAACAACTATGCATCATTTGTTTGATGCACAAAAACCGACACCTAAAATTTTCATTACACATAAAGAGAATTATTGAAATATATGCTATTTTAGAAACAAAATTCATTTATGTTTCTCATATAGCATAAGACTCATAAATTTAATAAAAATGAAAATGTAATTTTGTTCAACTTAAAACATAAAATATGAAAATCAACGTCTTCTTTTTTTCAAAAATATCTTAGATGCTTTTAGTTTAGAATATAGAAATGTAAAATAGATTCATTTTGCTAAAAAAGGATTGTTTCTTATTATTTTAATTAAAAAATAAACATGCAAGAAACAAACACATATATAAATTTTTAATTGTAACTTTTTTTAACTAAGTCATATGCTTATAAAACATTTAAAATAATGCATTATAAATAATGACATTTATTTTATTTACACCAACTGGCTATTAGAATATGAAAATGTGTATCTGAAATTTTTCAGTTATTCAAAGTAAAAGTTAATGTAAAATATGCAAATTTTATCATTGAAAACTATCTCCTAAGGGCATTCTTCAGTAATTAAAAATTTATTTTAGTAATTAAAATTTACAGGGGAAAATAGTCACAGAAACTTAATTTAAATAATTTTAATTAAAATCTTACCATACAATTAAATCAAAAAAAATATTAAAGCAGTTTCTTTATCGATTTCCAATACCATTCTGCATAAATTAAGATATTCTGAAAACTCAGAAATTTCAGGCAGAAACATGACCTTACAAAATAATAGACATCAGCCAGTACTCCTGTTCTGATTTGTAATACGAGTCAGCTTTCCTTAGAATGTTTCCAGAGAAGCCGCATTTCCTAAGCAAGAATTCCTCAGCAGTTTACCAGCAGCAATGAACAATGTTTCACAATAAACAGATTATTGGTTGTTTCCAGAAGACATTGCTACAAGATGATTCATTATTTATTGAGAAGAAATAATTCAAATAAAACATTGACAAATTACATGTTTATTAAGGTTAATAAAAACTGCCTAAATTGGAATGCCAGGTGAACCCATTCTAAGGCGATCATTTACTAAATGAGCTATAAAACTGGTCGTCTTAGAAAGATGAAATTTAATACCAAAGTTTTATAAATATAGAGCTTACTTTTCAAGGATGTCCTTCAGAAGTAACCAATAATCGGCTTACTGCAAAAGATTGTGCTATATGTTGATAGGCATATATTTGATCATGGCTATTGCTAAATTGTCAAAGGATTATTGCTTAGAAAATGGGGCTTCGATGAGAACACTCTATGCAAAATTGGCTCCTATTAGAAATTACTGGCTAATGCCTTTTAGTTTCTAAGATCATGTTTTTGCTTAGAATTTCTGAGTTTTCAGAATATTTTAATTTATGCATAATGTACCAGAAATCAATAGCAAAATTGCATTACTATTTCTGAAGAGATTTAATGTTGTGATGACTCTTTGCCCTCAGAAATATTTAATTAATAAGGTGACTATTTGTTCCTGCATATTTTTATTAAAACTAAATATTAATAAAATAAAAACTTCATTAGACTGCCCTTAGGAGAGATAGTTTACAAGGATAAAAACTGAATATATTTAACACTGACTTTTATTTTCAATGAATGAAAGGTTCAGATTAAATTTTTTATTTCAATAAACAACTGTTGAGAATAAAAGAAATGTCACTATTTATAATGCATTACTTTGAATGTTTTATAAGTATATGATTTCGAAAAAAATCATAAAAGTCACTTTTTATCATCTGTTATTTTAAATGACAATCATAATAAAAATTAATATCCATGTTTGCCTCCATAATTACATTTTTTTTAATTAAAGCCATTAGAAACAATCCTTTTTCAATAAAATGAAGCTATTTTTTGCTTCTACGCACTAAACTAAAAGCACCCAAAATATTCTGGAAACAGATATTTTTAAAGAAGGCATACTGATTTTTATATTTTATGTTTCAACTTGAATAAAATTACCTTTTATCCCTCTTTTTGGATGCATGTTGATATTTTTTTATTGACCAAACATTGAACGAATCATGATGCCATTGAATTCGAACTCAATTAAATCACCTATACAGTTTAACGACTTGTCTACACATACCAGAGCCCCCACAGCCATCATTACTATTTCCTTTTCATGCTCATTATTTTAGACTACTTCCTTGAGTCATTGCATCTGTCTTGATCTGATAAAGCCCTATGCACTTCTTTTTCCTTTTTTTCTCTTTCCATACTTTCTTTCTTTTCATTCACTTTTTCAAACCTTCAAAAGTAATTTCAATGAAGCGTGACACTATTTTCTTTACTGAAAGAAACCTGATTACAGTTTCAAGGTTCAGCCTTTCCAGCCATTAATGATAAACTTTAAACTTCATTTTGGGCTTTAGCAATGAGATTTAGTGCATTAAATATATGAATTTCTTCTAAAATAATTGTGAATTCCTTGTCTTTATTGATAACCTGAGAGCTTCTTGAGAAACAATGATCAACTAATTTGCAAAACTGATAACTATGAATTTGGTGTAATGTTATGTGGGGAAGAATACAAAAGACGATGCTATTTCATGTAATATGTTAGATTGCTTTCATCTAATTGCATAATATTATTGTAAAATTATTGCCAGTACTACTCATTCCCTCAGAATTAAGGCCTCTTGCCCCCTTCTTGACACCTAATAAAATGTGGTCAGAAATACTGCCATTTTTGAAAACTTCCTTACAGTTATTTTCAAATACCCAAATTTTCCAATGTTAATAATTATTATGATGTAGTAATGCATTAATAAATTAAAATCAGATACAATGCAATTCCTGACAAATTATTTCACAAATGCATTTTTCTTCTTAGGCCAGTGTGTTTCGCCATAATTCAATAAATCCAAATTCTTGAGTGAAATGTTATGTAGCTACCCCCTGACATGTTTCACAATAACTAATGAATCAACATCCACGCAATTAACTGCATACTGTACATGAAAATGTTAAGAAAACAAATAACTGAAACAAAAAGATTTTAATTTTTAGTAAAAGAATATCAGATTAACAAAGTGAAAGAAACTAATTTTAGAGTTTGATAATTCATCAAACAAATTTAATTTAGTTACTCATCTACCTTTTTCTAATCTTTTCTAGACTATATTTTTCACAAAAAAAAAACTGATAAAAAGGAATAACTAAATAAGGAGATTTAATAGTCATATATGTAATAATATATAATAATTTAATAGCTAAATGCATAAACTTAAAATTCTACTGACAGCCATATGTAGCATCGGCTATTCAATTTCAGTTTCTGCAATCTATTCAATTTCAGTTTTTGAATGCTTCAGTTTCCTTCTTGCTTTTTTAGCAAAAAATATGAATTAATCCAAAAATATGAAATACCAACGTAAAAATACTCCTCATTCCTTTTTGTGCTCACAAACCATTATGTGATTATTTACATTTACTATTTCCTAGAACCTATAAAACACATTTCACTAATGTTATCATCATGCGAAGATTTGTAAATGCTTTATTTTTTAGCACAATATTTTCTGCAATGATGTTTTGAACCATTTTATTTTTGACAACGATGTTTTCTCTTGTGTTGTTTTGTAGTGCCTTTTAATTTCTCTGAGAAATTTTCGTCCACGATGTTTCTGACACACACCAATAAAAGTAAATGTTCCAACTCAGAACAGCCTTTCAATAAATAAATTTGGATGTTAACAGCCAAAAGGCATGCAATAAAAATGGATATATTGCAAACTATGCTAATATTTAACACATTATAATTTCTTACAGTCTCACATTTTTAAGCCTTACATTTTTTCCTTATAAAATGTTCTACTGAAAAATTATCAGCCACACATCATTTGAATGTGACAACCTAATTTCTAATTTTATTCACAATAAATTAATTTTTTAAACAATGAAATTTGAAATTAATAGAAGATTTCTCAGTTTTACTAAAGCAAAGGGTTCCTCTAATATTTTTCAAAGCTAAAAGTCATAAAGCAAAGAAAATACTACAATTATTTTTTTACAGATAAATATTCTAGGAAGGCTTAAATGAGGTAGTATTAAGGATGGTACATATGGACTAAATTATCAGAGATCCACAACCATCAGATTTCAGACTAGAGTATAGGGAACAGAAGATGAAGATAATCTATTAACACAACATTCTCATTTTTATCTGTAAGGTTATAAAGTTTAAGAGCTCTAGCCTTTCACAAAATCGAAAGTCAAGTTCTGGTTCTGTCTTGACATGTTCAGCTACTTAGACTGACAGACTTACTGTCTTACAGTGTCTAATAGGCACAAATCTACATTAAATTTGGCTGCTCTTTCATTGATTAAATTTCCATATATTTACAATGATGGTCTGTGGTGACAGTTGCCTGTTTGTGGGCAATCTCCGCATAAAACAAACAATGAGTATTATTTTATTTTACTTCATAAAAGGGAATTTCCTCTTTGAATTCCTTTAATTTGCTAAGAAGGAACAAATAAGGCTAAGAAGAAATAATTTGCAGAGCAGAAATAAAATAAAGTTGAGAAAAATGAACTTTAATACAGTGGAAGCTGTCTATATTTCCATGTTTTTTACAACATTCTCAATAAGTCTAGTAAATTTCAACAAAACATTATTGCAATTCATTTGATGATGACACATCTGATAGGTGTCACTCTTTTTTCAAACAACTGTGACACAAATTCTAGATATTTTAAGTAAGCATCCTAGCAGATGAAACATAATTAGAAGAGTGAGGAAGAATTCTGGGCAATAATAAACATTTTAGAAGAGTACAGCCACTTACATCAAAAAAGCACCAAAGACTGCTTATTCATAGATAAATGAATTTAAACATGGATAGATATGCTGAGAAGATGAAACTCTTTAGACACCTATTTGCAATCATCACAGCAATTATTGTTGAAAAAGCCCACACTATTATTATAGAAGATTATCAAAGGAAAGTGCTTGAGGTTGCTGAGACTGGGGAATCTTTTATGAGTACATAACATTGTGCATAAAAAGTTAGAGATAAAAATACTATTTGCACAATGGATACCGAGATTATTGGCTCTGAATTAAAAATGATCTGAAAGGAAAACAACAGTGATAATTAACTGCAATCTTCAAGAGTTTGGGGACATATTTTTGGCTGTGGATGAACTATGGATCCATGCTTAACCATTTAAATATAAGCATCCATACTAAGAAAGAAGTACACTAAAGAAAGTGAAAGCTGTTTCCTCAGAAAGTGATGACGAATTTCAAGGAATCATCATGGTCGATTACTTACAGAAATGAAAAATAATGACAGGAACCTATTATACAACATTACTGGATCATTTGAAAGAAATGAAACAAAATATCCAAGACTAGAGTTAAAAATGTGCTCTTTTACCAAAAGAATACACCCTTCTACAGAACAATGGTTATATGGCAAAACCGTACGAGTTTAAACTGAGTTTATTCCTATGTTCTTTATACTTCACTCAAATGATTTTTAATGCCTCCCAGACCTTAAACTCTGGCTAGATGGGAAGAAATCCTCATCAAATAAAATTATCATTAATGCTGTTGATGCATATTTTTCAATCTTTGACAAAAGTTATGTTTCTAATGATAGGTAAAAATTGCTAATTCACTAAAAAAAAAACACATATAATGCCTGAATAGAAAATGTGGTGAGAAATAAAATAATTTTTTGCTTTTTATCACACTTACCTCCCTCGCATACTCTAAACAGTTTCAACTACATTTTTAGAGACCCGTGAATGTCAATCAGAACTTGAAAATGTTAATGCCTCATTAACATTTATATAAGTCTCAGATAAATGTTAATGCCTCATTAACATCTATACAAGTCTCAGATAAATATAAGTTATTTACATAAATGTTATAAATAATTTGGTTCTCTTAAATCCGTACAATTTTGCTGCTTAAATTTTAAGCTTGGGTTTAAGTATTAAAACCAAAATTATTTTCATCAAGTTTTGCTATGATTTAGGAAAAAAAAAATTACTTTATTTTTTCTTTTAAATTAAAAAAAAAAAAAAAAAAAAAAAAAAAACTTACAACCTACATTCTTTTTACATGTTTTATGAGTACTGTTTAGAAAGTAAGATCCTTTCATGCACTAAATTCACAAATGTTAAAGTTGAAAGAATGCTAAAAAATTCAAAATACTACAAGCCACTCAGAAAATGAGAAATTAAATATGCCCTATGATTCATTTTTAAATGCTGTAAAAAATTCAGTTTTGTGTGTAACTCAGTAGCTCTCATTGGCAAATATCAGTGGCACTTCTAGAAAAGTAACCAAATAGAAATATATTAATATTGTGAATACTGTATATGAAGGATCATTGCTATTTACAAACAGTTATTATCTTTATAATTACAGCCAAACATGCACTTTGCCAAAGTTATTGTCTTTATAATTATAGCCAAATATGCACTTTGCCAAAATTTAGTAACCATGAATCATCAAATTTTTTAATAAGAAATGAATTCAGAATTCATGGTGAAAGAAATAACATAGCATTAACTGGCAGCAAAATAACATGTAGTGAAAGCATACAAAAACAGGCAATAATATTCCATGGGTATAAATGCCTATACTTAGTGAAAAAATAAATAAAAATATATAAATACTTGGAATTAAATTACTTATCCTTATATAGTATAACTAAGTAATTCTTATTTATAAAGCAAAGTCTAGATAAACTTTATCCTTGGAATGGAAGAAGTCAAATTGTTCACACTTATGCTCATACCTTTTACTGATTCTTTGGCCAACACTGGAGCAGAGTTTTTAAATTCAAATTTTAAGGCTTCTTCTAATGAAGGTGAATTGTATGCTGCATGATATGCTGAATATCTATCTGCACGTAAACATTCTTGAGGAAATTTACAAAGACTATTTGCCAAATTAATTGCATTACCAATTCCTAAGAGTGAAAATAATAATAATTATGAGAATACATATATATATATATATATAACTGCATACAAATATTACCACAATGGGCAATGTAAAGGCAACAAATACATTGGAATGCAGTTTCAATAAATAAGCACTATAAATAAAAATAAAATAGGAACAACTATCATAAATTGCAATTTACATAGTAATGCTAAAAGATTCCTAAGTTGTGCCTACAACTTAACTTTAATGAACAAAATCTGCATTTAAATTAACTTCCCTTTTAAAGTACAGAGACCTTTTTGCACATAAATCTGATTTTTTACAGAGTAGATTATCATTACAAGTTACTTTCTACCAGTTGGTTCAATCAGAATGCTTATTCTCCAACACAGGCACTGATTTAAAACAAGTTCTGTTAAGTGAAGTTCTTAAAGACTTCAGATAAAAAAACAAAACCATACAGAGTTCAGTTAAGTGAGCAGGAATGTTAAATCTAACACATTTTCTTCTGAAATGGAAAATCACTTTTCAGCCTCTGTGGTTTCTTTGTTCTTGTTCTCGGCAGAAAGGTTTTCAGAAATATGTGATGTTTCACAGCCTACAACAGAAGCAAAACCTACAGCTACAACAGCATTTGTTGTTGATGCATTTGAAATCTTTCTTCAAAAAGTACTTGAAATCAGAAACAAAAAAAAAGTTTTGAATTTAGATTTCTTTTATTCTGAATGATGATGGTGTTTTGGTGACACATTTGTCATTGTTTTATACTATTAAGTACTACAAATGACTTTTCAACATATGAAAAATAGAAAATATACTTAAATTGACTTTAATTACTTCAGGAATCAGAAGCCAAAAGAAAACTCTGAAAAAAACATTTTCATGTTCAAGTTTCTGTGTTAATTTTGTCTAAGTGTGTCTTTCTTTATACATGAGTCTTCTTTCAGGTTTTCAGATGTATAGGTATCCTAAACATTCAACTGCTCTCTGCATCTTTTCAAACTTTATAATCTTTTTTGAACATATATGACACAGATAGACATAAACCTTTTTGCCTTAGAAATTTAATTTGGCACCAAAATGGATACACTAGATGGCCCACCCCTTGTGGTCACATAGATACACAAATAATAAAAAAATAAATAAAAAAGCTAATTACTTTTGTCTGGATTATCTAACAAACTTATGCTCACAATCAAAGCCCAGATTTTGACGACATAAACATTTTCTTTGCATTTTTTTAGAATTTTACTATTTTACAGCATTTGTTACGATTTTTAAGCATATTCCAGGCTTTAAGGACATTTCCCGGTCATTTCAGAACATTATCAACACATGGCAGCTTGAGAAATTACTCATGCAGTGATGTCTTAAATGTATTTTTTTTAATATTAATAAATGAATAAAAAGAGCACGGCAACTTTGTATTTTGACACTGCACTTGGTAAAGTTTACAAAGTTCAGCTAATTGCATTACAAAGTGCTGTGTGTGTTGACAAGCAGATATTTTACAAAAATTTCTTTCCATGTGCAAAAAATAGATTTTGTAAATGATACTCAGAAGCTAAAAGATTACATCTAGTGCTGTTTGAATTGAGAATAACTGATCTGTTGATAAGCTCCAGGACTGGCGTCAGAGCTGGTGTGGCTGCACCAGGTGGCAGAATTCAGGGAAGGCAAAATTTTTAGAATTTAGAAGCACTGAGAAACAAAATTACGAGACAGTAAAATCTTCAAAATTTAGATAAACCAATGGTATAAACAATTTTTAGAATTTAGGATATGCATGACTAGGACTGGTGCAAAGACTGTTCTGAGCTGCAAAATGTCTAATGCTGGCCCTGAATAAGCCTTAAATATGTATAGGAATTTATTCATTTGGGAGTCAGATAAGCTTTATGCATGTGTGGGAAATAAGCATATGTAACATAAATAAACTAAGGTAGTTCAGGCTTAACTTGTCAGCATGCGATAGAAGCAAGATATAATTTGGCAGACCAACATGTATTTAGTCACCAATTTCATGATGCATAGCCAATACTGTATAGCAAACACTAGCTAATATTTATGATGGTATCTGCAAATTTGAGAATTTCTAATATCACAAACAAAGAGCAAAATTTTCCAATTTATAGAATTTGTGAAGAAGTGGTAATAAATGAAGATGATATAATATTACAATGACAATGCCATAAACATCACTCAACTAATGAATGGCAAAATCTGCAGAATGGTTCTAGACCAGAAAACATGACTCTAGTGAAGAAAGCTGCATGGAGTTTATTAAGAATGAAAAAATTTCAACTGATGATTTAGTGGGAATTTTGAACATGACAATTATGGGATTTGAAGAATAGGACTTAATAACTGCACAAGGAATTAAGTCCTCTACAGAATTAAAGAGAAGTATTAGCACAAAACACAAACAAATAAATATTGAGCTTTTTTTTAAAAAAAAAGGGGGATCACAAAAGGTTTATTATTTTGCAAACCATCATTTCATATTTTTTATTTATAATTTCCGGATGTTATTTCAATATATTTAAACTGATGATCTAATATTCAGAAAAATCTCAAATCCTGTATTGCTGATGTTTCAAAAAGTCTGGATCCACACATATCTTACGGTGTCTACACTTTCTTATCTGAGTTTTAAAACATAGCAACATCTTAGGATCATATACTGCTTATAAATTATGCAGTATAAACCTGGTAACATCTCAGAATTTCTAAATGTAGTTATTACTATATAATTGAACATTCAGAATGCAGTTACAAATATTTTCATAAAGAAAACATAACATAATCCTTATTTTATATTAATATATCGTCTCAACACTTAAAAAGGGAACTTTTATTTTAATCTAGAATTTACACAATAACAATACATACATGGCGTTTGACTGCAAATCAACATGGAGAACACATGTAAAGGACTTGTCCAACTGTGCTACGAAGAGACTCAGTGTCCTTAAACGCCTTGCTGGGGCAAGGTGGGATTGCATTAGACAAACCCTGCTCCAAACTTATCATTCGTTTATCCTTCCCCTTCTGACTTACTGCTGTGAACCACTTGTTGTGGCCATGGAAAATATACTCTTTACTATAGAAAAATCCAAAATCAGTGCTTATGTATTGTTTTTGGAGCTGTGAAGACCACCCCAATTGATGCCATGTTTATGTTAACTGGTGATAAACTCTTAAGAACTATAATTCAAGAGAAGACCTTAATTTCTGGGAAAAGATCATTAGAGTTCCTGGATGTCTTTCACTCTGGAATAAAGTCAATCAAGATCTAACTAGAAATCTAAAGACCCAGATGGGCTTTCTACAGAGAGTTTTTCAGTTCAAAAATTCACTTGGTTTAATGAATGAACCAGAATTACTTGTTCCATTACAAAATCCAATAAATTTCTTTCAGGATTAATCTTGACCTGGGTCAAAACGCAGCCAAACATAATATGGATCCCTCTATTTTGAGAGCCCTCGCTTTTAAAGTATTAAACATTTTTTACCCTGAGTCAGAGTAACTTCGGATCTTTACTAATGGATCCTTCCTGTCTGATGGCCCTAATGCAGCTGCTAGAGTTTTTTCCAAAATTTTCTCTTTCTACATCCCTGTGGGCCAAGGCTCTACGTTTGATGGTGAAATTGCCGTGATTCGCACAGCTCCGTACCAGCTACCATGCCACTTGGAAAAATTCACAAGAGCTGTTATACTCAGTGATTCCCAAGCTGCTCTGCTGGCTATCATTTCAGATAAAAATCCCATATCACAGGACATATTGGATCGTTGGCATTATCTACTGGCTTCACTTGAGAAAACTGTAGTCCTCCAGTAGGTTCCTGCTCTCTCTGGGATTCCAGGTAATGCGAAAGCCGACTTCTTGGCAAAAAAGGGTACTTTAATCATGCAGAATATTTCTCATCCTTTGCTTTTCCATACTGTTAGGGATCTTATTAAAAGATCTTTCAAAGTATGTGCTCAGAAAGATCTCTATTATGATGTTTCTCATAAGTCTTGGAAAAATGCTATCCTGGATTTGTGTAATGGCCCAAGGCGTACAGCAGTCGCTGAATGCCGCCTTGCCAATGGACATGACTACCTACAATATCATCTTCATAGATTCAAAATTGTTTCTTCTCCGATTACTCTGTGCACTCTGGAATTATTCTGTGCAGCTCTGGAGAGGTGATGGATGCCGCACATCTACCACTCTGTGCAAGACTTTTCTCACCAAGCATTACTGGGAGGCAAGAGATATGTTAGATTAATGGACTTTGTTACAGCTGGGTTTTTTTTTTCATTGTGCTGCTGTATTCTATGTTCTTTGTTCTTATTTTTTTCCTGTAACTGTTCATAATTTACCATTGAAAATAATAGTAATAATAATAAAAAACAATACACACTCATGATTCCAGACACATGAATTCATTTGCCCCATTTAATTGTTTAAGACCGTAAAATTGTTATCAGTTCACTAGCTACTTAACAGTAGTTATTTCATAATTTGTCATCTTTCGAAGTGTTATTTATTTATTTATTTTTTTTTTACTTCCCTTTTTTCCCAGTAGAATGTAAACATAAGTGATGAATATACACTATCCATAAACAAGAAAAACATTTACTGCCTTCTAAAACATTCACTATTCACACACTTATGAAAAACCAAACAAAAGTGGTAATTATTATTACAAACATCAAAAACCTTTGCATTTATACTTATCATTAAATTTATACTAATAATAAAATATTATATTTCTATACATATCAGAAAACCTTTTATTTTACTTCCTCCCTAACCTGGATTTGTTCTGGAAGAATATGCTCATTACATTCAGTTTCATATTTCACATATTACATATACATATAGAGATGCAGATATAAAAACAAAGCAAGAATAAGCCAAAAGAAAGAAAACTGTGGAAAGATTACTAAATAAAAAATTACCTGTTCCACAGGCTGTAACTTTTGTGGCAAGTCCCATTTCATATGCTTCCTTAGCATTTATAGCCCGTCCTGTAAGTATCAAATCAAGAGCACGAGACAGACCTATAAGATGTGGAAGCCTTGCTGTTGAACCATTAACAATAGGAACTCCTGTGAAAATGGTAAAACTAAGCATAAGTAAAAAGACAATATTAAAAATATAAATTATAAGCCACATTTATACAACTAATAACAAAAACACATATTTTTATGAATATTACATATTTAGAAATAAGTTTTGAAACAAAAGCATCTATATGTTTGCACTATACAGTCACTTGCATTGATGAGAAAAATTTAGAAATGCAATGAATATAACACACAGCAGGAATAAATAAATGCTTCCCATATTGTAAAAAATATGAAATTGACTTAATGTATGTTGGCAGAAAATTCTCAAATAGTATTCATTATCACTTGATTACACTGAAATTATTTCTACATAGTAGTCCTTCACTTACATAAAATCCCAATTACATATAAGTGCACAAAAGACATAAACTCAAAACTATGAATTAGAAATAAGGGCTCCATAAAGAATTACTTCTTTTTTCAATCAGTATTTCTTGCAATCAGATAACATTTTAGTTTAGTTACTTGTTCATTACTACTATTAATCATAGCTTATTTGCCTCTAAAATGAATTCAAAATGAAAACGTAAATGTACTAGTAATAAATCTAAAAAACAAAGGTCCGCATTACTTTAGAAGAAAATTTGAAAGTAATTTGAACAAGATGCACCCACAAAGTAACTAAACAAATTAAAAGGCCAAAAGATAAAATAAAAAAGTGATAGAATAAATGCATGCTTAGAAGGGCATATATATGCATCTCAACTCTTGCTAAAGCCAGTTTTAACTAGTTATTTTGTTACTTGCATATCAAAATGAAGTCAAACTTCATTTACTGAGAAGACACTACAAAATAAAATTTACTTCAGGATGGAACACTTTAAAACATTAAATTTTGTTACAAATTAGGGAACTGCTACCTAAATGTTAGAGATGATTTAGACCAGGGATGGGCAAACTATGGCCCGCCAGAAGGTTCTATCCGGCCCGTGGATAGAATTTAAATTTACCGCTCCGAGAGAAGATGATCTTTTTACTTTCTCTATTTTTGTTCTAAAAACATAAATTGACAGTAACAGCAAGCACAGACAGCTTTCAATTGGTAAAGTGTTAAAAGTGAAAGTTATTTGTTAGTTATAGCTGTAAATTGGCGCCAACAAGTGTTATCTCTTTCTCGGGAAGCAGACATATGGGAATCTAATATAGGTGAATTAGACCTCTTAGAAAAAATTTAATCTTAACTTAACTATTTTAACTTAATAAGAAACCTTAATTTGTTTGCTGCACAGCTATCTAAGAACGACTTGTCTCATTTCCCGAGGTTAAATTCATTACCCTCAATAAACGAAGAGAAGCTTAAGAATTATAAAGACGGCTTGAAAAAAACTGCATTTTGAGTTCGAATGAAGATTTCAAGATTTCAGTGACGTTCAAACAGAATTAAATAATTTTACCATGCCTTTCAACATAAATTGTGAAGCAGTCTTAAGCAGTTTTATCTAAGTGTGACAAAGTTAGAGTTTTATAAACCATTATCGAAAGTAAGTTTCCCAAATTTAGTATCTCACATCCAGAAAATCAATGCTATGTTTACTTCATCTTATATATGTGAACAAGAGTCTTCAACTATGAACCTTAGAAAGTATTATTTCAGGAGTAGATTGACAGATGACCATTTAGCCTCATCTCTTAGAATCAGTACATCACACTTCGAAACTTAATATAAGGAACTTTTAAAAATGAAATCGCAATTTCATTTATCTCATTAACATATTTAAATTGTAATAACAATTTCATTCATCTCATTAACATATTTAAATTGTAATAACATATTTAAATTTAAATTGTGCATTTGCTAAAGCAGAAACATCTGCAACTTTAGCATATGAAATCACTTCATCATTGATTGGAAATTTATGTAGTGTATAATTAGACTATACTCAGCAGAGAAGTAGTTATTTTTGTCTTATAAACAAATAATTGCAATGACAAACTTATTTTTGTCTTCCTCTGAAAGTTCTTCCACTACTTTGTTAGTTGCAGCCCCTATTACCGAATCTTCAACTTTCTTCAGATTTTCTATTTCACCATAAAACACATCATATATAAAATTTGAAAAAAAGTTTGGTTTTACAAACTTTGATATAAGCAGATTATAAATCATCAATTGCAAAACATGAATTAATAATTTTCTGCTTTGTAGAACTGTGTTAAGAACATCAAATGATGGCAAAATGAAGTGTACAAAAAGGCAAAAAGCGTTGTTAAGGTCCGAAGTCAAAAATATAAATATTCATTCTTCACAAAGTAACCGGAAAATGTTTCCCCTCGTGGAGCATTTTTTTTTTTTTTTTTTTTTTTTTGTGAGAGAGAGAGAAATTTGTATCAGCTTTATTCTTATATTTTGTAGTAGTTTTTTTAGAACTACTCAATTAAATTGCTCACTAGTGCAGAAATTACTTTTCTGAAACCTACTTTTAGCAGTAGAAGTAATAACTACATCTCCATTTACTTTAGGTATTTTATACCTTTCAATAAAGCCTTTTATCTTAAATCGAGAAGCATTTATTTCTTCCTTAAAGAATGGAAGAAGTGGCTTCCATTAGTCTAGGATTCTAGGTAAAAATTTCCTGAAAGATAGCCAGCATATGCAAACAAGTTTAGAAATTTTTCTTACTTTAGTGTTATGCAGCTGTTGGAATTATTTCAATTTTCCTTTCCTTTCAGAACTTCTTTCAACATAAATAAGTATCAACAATGTGTTCATCCACACTTTATTGGTAAAAAAGCTTCCTCTTTTTTAGTTACTAACTTTAAGAGGTGACAGGTGCACCTCTTAAAATAATTTGCAAATTTGAATTTTCCTTTTTTAAGATGCCTGCAACACCAGTCTTCTAGCCTACCATGTCTAGTACATTATCAGCACCAATTGCTAAGTAAGTATCCAGAGGAATTGCATTTTCTTTTCAAGTTTTAAAAATCACCTGTGCCTGTATTAAAGCCTGTTGAATGTCCTTCTAAAGTGGGAGCAAAAAGGAAACTATACTCAAATTCTGGAGACAATGATTAAAAAAAAAGAAACCACAATTGGATAGAGTTTTGAAACAGTATTATTGCTTCCACTCATAGAGAGGCAAAATGGAACTGTTTTAATGCAATCAATAACTAAAGATTTATTTTTCATACTCATTTCTTTAACACCTACAGCTGTTTTGGTCCTTGCACTCGAATATTTCTTAGCAATTTTGCAACTGGGGAAAACTTTGCTAAGTAAAGCTGCAGCATGATCCAATGCATTTCAGTGGCAGGTTGTGTTCCAGTAAAAAGGCAGAGAACAGGCATTCTGCACTAATAAATTTTTGGTCCTTTGCTTTCACAGAAAAATTTAATTATTAATTCTTTTCAATAGAACTCATGTTGTCCTTGTGTTTTTGTGTACGCACAATGTTTGAGAACATTGGCCCTTATATGCTAAATAAATAAATAAAAAAAAAAAAAATAATAAAAAAAAAAAAAAAAAAAAAGCAAATGTATGACATTTACTTAAAGAAATAATAGAAGGAAAGTCATCTATATATGATTCTTGGAAAGTATATGAGTATTTTACCCTTTTTGCAGACATTATCAAGTCTGCAAAAGGTCATAATTACTTGAACTGTTTCTTTCTTGAAAGCACATGCACTCACACCACTCAATGATAAGATGAATAAAAAACAACCTTGATCTTGTTTTGTGCTCATTGGCTAATATATGTCAGATGACATGCAGTGACGTCCGATGCTTACTTTAGAACTGCAATATGAAATTTTCAGACACATGTGCTCCTCACAAAGCAGAACTGATGCAAATGAAGCATGATGAAACATGATGAAACTACTTTGGTTTTCTTTTATATATAATCTAGAGAAAAACTATGCGTTTTCAGATGCACAAAATACTTTTTTTTAAAATTCCTTTTGTGCAAATAACGAAGTATTAAGCTAAGCTACATATAAATCATAAGAAATTTTAAGAATAACAGAAAATCGGGAGAAATATGTCCCAAATTGGGTTAGTGGGAGAACAGTCGAAAATTGGGGAGCCTCTTGCTTAAATCAGGACAAAGAATGAAGTAAATGTAGAGAAAATTAGTTCTTTGTAAAAGTTGATAGACATATAACAACTCTGCAACTTTCGCACATGCACAGGATAAGCAAAGAAAGCTGTAGGTTAACTTTAATTGAAAATCAGAAAATGAGGGAAGTTTATGTTTGATTTGTGCCTAAGACAAAAGCAAAGAGAAGATAGAAAAGCTTGCTGTGAGTATTTGCTAACTACTGCAAAACAGGACAACAATTTCTTAAAGAATATCATTACAGGCGATGAGACCTGGTGTCTATACCACACGGGAAGGGGGAGGCAAAGTGCACAATGGAAAGGAAAATATTCTTCCAAATATATAAAAGAGGGGCAAAAAATACCATAATCAAAGATTATGGTAAGCTGATTGCATTTTTGATTACAAAGGACTTATTTGCCATGAATTTGTCCCTCAAAATCAATAAATTAATCCATATTTTATAAGGATGTGCTTTTTTTTTTTATTAAGAAACAGAACAAGGAGTGCTAGGAAGGGACTTTTTAATTCTGAGCAATGGTTTCTTTCACATGATAATGCTAGAACACCAAAGAACACTGCCTGAAAAACAATACCTTGCTAAGCATTCAAGTGCAGTGACACCCACCATATTCTCCCTATATATAGCCAGCTAATTTTTCCTTTCTTCGAAGCTTAAGATATCCATAAAAGGACACAGATTTGAAAAGGTCTCACATTTTAAACCACATGTATTTTGTGAATGATTAGTTTTAATGCCTATAAACAGTGTTTTGATAACCCAAAGAAATGTTAGAAAAATTATATAGATTTCTTTTGTGATTATTTTGAAGAAGTTACTTTATGGACATGCCTTGTATCTATGAAGATGGGGAAATTATATTAAAAATAGCTTGAGATATAAAATGATCTATTTCAATAGTGAAGATGATAGTGAATGATA